CGGGGCTGGGGGGGGGGGGGGTAAATTTTACCCCCCCCCCCTGTTATCTCCCGAACTAATGGTCCGATTTGGAAAATTCAAACGCCAATCGAAAGATCTCATCACGAACAACTAAAAACATGTACTTAATTTTAAGTTTGAGGTCAAGGTCAAGGTCAGGTCAAGGGTACAGATTGCAAGCTCCTACAGTATCGGCCTTGCACCGTAGTTGCCGAAGAATGGAGTCATGGACTGAGACTGATCGCCCAAAACGTGTTCTTAGGCTACCAAGACAATATTCGTTGCATATAATATCATTCAGAGGTCAAGGTCAAGGTCAGGTCAGGTCAGGTCAGGTCACCAAAAACAAAATATAGAAAAGGGCATGTGCGACACATGTTTTATGGGTCATTTTACTCATAGAATTCAATAGGCACACTCAATAAGTGATATGGACCACCTCTGGATGAATTTCAGGTCGAGGTCAGGTCAAGGTCAGGTCAAGTGAGGTCAAATTTTGAAGTTGGTTGTTAAGGCCTAAAAAGGTGTCTATCTGATGCAGTTTTTCACGGCGAATCGAATGGGGCTATTTTTGTTTCCGTACGAGGTCTAGAACTTCCAAAAAAATCATTTTTCAAAATTTTTGTGTGTCGTGACGTCATACAATTTTGAATAACTCCCACATTTTTGAACCGATTCTTCTAAAACTTGGTATGTAGGTGCACATAGACCACTTCTCTGACATATATTCCGTTTTTTTTTTTTTGATACACTCAAAATTTTGGATTTTATAGCTATTTTCCCAAAAAAGTCAGTTTTTTGAAAAAAACTTGGGCCAAAATCCAAAATTTTCAAAAAACCGAGATAACCATTTGATAGACAAAGTAGAATTACGTATATCCTTTTTTGTTACGTCTTGATTCCTTTAAAAATGAAGATGTTAGCGGCGTTTGAACTTTTGCCGTTTTTGAGGCGAAAATGGCGAACATGACGTCACTAAAACGTCAATTTCTCAAAAATTTTCCGACGGATTTCGCTCAAATTTTCAGGGAACGTGTCAAATTGATGTAAGAAAAGGTACTGAAAGTTTGGCGGCGCTGCGCGCCGCCGTTTTTGAGATATTGCAAAAATTCGCGAGGGGGGTAAAATTTACCCCCCCCCCCAGCCCCGCGCGGGTTAACCCCCTAATATACGGCCTTGGACGATAAACCGATTAATGAATATTGTCCTGGGCCCTGGCCCCTGTCTCACCGCCCGACGCTGCGCGCGCTGGGAGCTAAGGCATACCCCTGACGTCACTCGAATGACGTTGCGAGCGATCTGTTAGCTTATGATGAATCGCGTTTGGAACAGAGGTCCTAAGGAACCAAGTACAAAGAGAACAGAGGTTTGGGTGCGAATGCTGCTAGCGTGCTGGCGGAGCGGCGCGCTAGCGTTTTGCGATGACGTCATAGCTTAGCGTCAGAGTGAAGTTTGTTGATATTGCCATGGAAACCCAACGCGCCGACGCGCGCAGCGCACTGCAGCGATCTGCTGTGAAACACCACCCTGGAGTCAAGGTCACTGGAGTAATTGGGAGACATTTTCACTGAAGTTCTTCTACGTCATTAACGCCATTGGTTTCACACTTGAACGCCGTCAACAGCCACAGTAGCTAAAATAGGGCAAAGTTTCCCGAGTATTTCATGATAGTAACTACAGAATGCAGATGGACCAGAGACATGCGATCAGCAGCTCATGACTATGACATTCGGTTGAAATAAATCAACCACCAATGAAGTCATAGCCTACGATTAGGCAGCCCAATTCAAAGAAGATATGGAGCCGTAGATTTGTGGACGGCTCCGGCTCCGGTTGAGTACCTAGGCTCTTATTGAGCTTCGGACGCCACAAGCCATTTGCTACTTCTTCCCCACTTTCTTACCCCCCCCCCTTCCTCCCTGATTCCGCCACTGGCGGTTTCTGTCGCCTGCCGGCGCAGATGGAATGGGTGCGCTCGGACGGCTCAGTCGACTGTTGTTGTAAAGCGCAATTTGTTAAAATATGTGCAATTCTAACGCCGAATTAATTTGAAAAAGTGTCGAATGCCAAATCGTCTCCTGACTACAATGTTTGATGGATTGGCAATATCGTTGGTACCGAAGCATTATGAAACATTTATCTCGCTTTATTGAAGAGAGCAGGTTAAACTGAGCACGTTTATTGTCTTTAATTGCGTAAAACTCTCGGTTCGATATGAGCGCACTCAGTCTATTGAAAGCGCACCTCTAGGTCACGTGACTGCGGTGTGTCACGTGATTGCGCTTAAAACCGAAATCGGCGTCACAGGAGCGAGAGAAGCTGGTGCGTGCTTCAATTGCTTACAAACTACCAGACATATTGCCATCAATTGTAACGCGCCAAAGCAGTGCAGTATCGTACAAGCAGGCCAAAAATGCGGGAAAAGACATCACGATTTATTACATGACGATCGCAATAATGACAAAAACAAAGGACAAAACTCCGAAAGTTACAATGTTCAAGCGAGAGAAGGTCAACCAGTTGTAGCCGTCAACGTCGTACAGTGTCAAAATCAAGCAATAAACGTTATGTGGGATTCCCGCTCAAACATCTCTCTCATTACCCACCGTGCGGCCGCCCGACTCGGCTTGCGGGGTCAACCGATAAATTTATCAATCGTGAAGGTGGGAAATGACACCACCTCATTAACAAGTCAAGAATATAATGTTCCTCTTGCCGATTTGGAAGGGAAAATTTGGTCAGTAACCGCATTCGGTATCGATGAAATCACTGCTAATATCCATCAAGTCAACATTGAACATATCAAGAAGAATTTTCCAGACATTGATATCATGGAAATTATCCGACCCGAGGAAAAGATTGATATGCTGATCGGGGAAGATTCCTGCGTAATTATGCCCAATGTTATCAAAACAATCGGCAATAGTCAGCTTTTGGTAATAGTCCCAACAACGTAACAACTGCGATGGCGAAACTTCGCTCTACAGAAAACCGTCTCTTTAAATTAGGATACGAACACCAAACGGCGTATCAACAACAAATGAAGGATATGGAGAATCAAGGCGTCGCCAAGAAACTATCTGAAGAAGAAATAGAAGTATACGACGGACCAATTCATTACATCCATCATCACGAAGTCATGAAACCAAAATCATTATCTACGCCTATTCGCATTGTGTCCAATTCATCCGCATCTTACATGGGTCACGCATTGAATCAATACTGGGCCAAGGGACCAGACTTTATTAACAACTTACTTGGCATTCTTCTTCGATTTCGAGAACACCCCGTTGCTATGACAGCTGATATATCAAAAATGTACAATTCGATTAGACTATCGAAGAGAGACCAGCATGTACACCGATATCTCTGGCGCGATCTTCAAACAAATGAAAACGCAAACCATTATGTTTTAACGGCGGTTCCGTTTGGAGATCGACCGAGCGGGACTATTGCGCTGACCGCACTGCATACGATCGCTGAGATGTTTAGAGCCCAATACCCTCAAGCAGTGAATATGATAACAAAGAACAGCTATGTCGATGATCTAGTACAGTCTGTTTCAAGCACAAATGAAGCATTAACCTTGGCTGCTCAGGTGCAAGACATTCTGTCACAGGGTGGTTTCACAGTCAAACACTGGACGATCCCGGGAGAGTTCGAAATGAAAAATAACACTATTGAGGTTTCGTGTCAGGAACAAGAAAAGGTCCTTGGATTACTATGGGAGCCATTACCTGACAGTCTCATATTCGATGTCAAATTCAACTTCACAAAAGGTCAAGTCGAAAACAGTTCAAGTCTGGGTGAAACGAAGCACAACATACCAACAATATTGACAAGGAGAATGCTTTTGCGACAAATAGCAACCATTTACGATCCCTTGGGACTCATTGTACCTTTCACGATTCAAGGAAAAATTCTTATAAGAAACTTGACAACAAGACAGGATTCGAATCGACTGATTCGCTGGGACGAACCCATACCGGATGAAAACAGGAATGAATGGATCGCCTTTTTGACACAAATGATCAAGTTGGATACGATTCGTTTTGAACGATGCATTAAGCCAACAAACGCTGTCGGTGAACCGATTTTGGTCGTGTTTTCTGACGCCAGCTCACATGCCTATGGTGCTTGCGCATACCTTCAGTGGTTGCTCGAATCGGGACGACACGAAACTCGACTAATCGCTGCCAAAAATCGTATGTGTCCAAATCGTCAGCTAAGTATACCACGCCTAGAACTATGCGGAGCCGTTCTGGGATGTCGTTTGGCCGAAACTCTCCTAAAAGAGATGTCACTCAAGTTTCGTGAAGTCATTTTCATAGTAGACTCGATGATAGTACGATCCCAAATCCAAAAGCAGTCGTACGGGTTTGGAACTTTCGTAGCCGTGAGAATAGCTGAAATTCAGGAGAAGTCAGACCCCGGTCAGTGGTGGTGGACTGATGGTCAAAATAATCCTGCCGACATGACTACGAGATACACCAAACCAGAAGATCTGGGAACAAACAGTGTTTGGCAGACTGGACCTGAGTTCATGCAAACTGCAAGAGAATATTGGCCGATAAGTCAGAAGCAGTTTGAGCAGGAATTACCTGATCGGGTAATAGTAAGCCTAGCAAGTGCATGCAACAGCACCCCAGAATGTGACATAGGTATGCGGAGATATTGATATTTCTCGCTTCAGCAGTTACGACAAACTCATTCGGGTCACAGCGCGGGTACTCAGCGTCAAGGAGAATAGATCTTTGAAGAACGTAGGACAATGTTTGACAACTGAACTGATCACAGAGGCTCAAACCATATGGATAAAACACGCCCAGAAGATTGTCATTGACAATTGGCAAGTGAGATTTAGAAGACTCGGTCCAGAGCTTAACAACGAAGGCATCATCATTGTCGGGAGCCGAATCGCTAGATGGCTAAAGCAGAATTGGAACCAGGATCACTATATCCTTCTACCGCACAATCACCGATTCACCGACCTGTATATTCAGAAATTACATATTCGTGATCATGGGGGAATCGAAACCACGTTGGCACGACTTCAAACAAAATTTTGGGTACCGGGTGCCAGGCGCGTCATCAAAGGGATTAAACGGCAATGCATCGTATGCAGAAAACTGGACAGCAAACCACAACATCAACTGATGGGACCTGTGATCCCTGAAAGGTTGAAGCCAAGCCCAGCCTTCTACCATACGGCACTGGATCTCTTTGGTCCATTCCTTATCAAAGACACAGTCAAACGCAGAACTAGAACGAAGGCATATGGAGTGATATTCACCTGTCTGGCGTCAAAGGCCTCGTACCTTGACCTCGTGGAAGGGTACAGCACGCAAGATTTCTTGCTGTCATTTCGCAGGTTTGTCACGATACGGGGATACCCTGCGACCCTATACTCCGACCTCGGTTCGCAACTGACGGCGGCAAGCAAGGAACTGCGGGAAATCACAGACAAGTGGAATATGACGGATTTGACAAACGCTGGAGTTGACCAGGGACTGACTTGGACTTTTACAAAGTCATCCAACGCTCCGTGGGAAAATGGATGCAGTGAGGCGTTAATTCGTCTCGTCAAGCGAGCACTCACGATATCAATAGGAGACAACATCCTTACCTTCGGTGAACTTCAGACAGTACTTTTCGAAGTCGCCAACCTCCTCAATGAACGACCGATTGGGCACAAACCGGGAGCAGATCCCCTCCACGGCTCCTATTTGTCCCCAAATGACCTCCTTCTCGGGCGTACCAATGTGAGTGCACCACAAGGCAATTGGGATCAGACATCAAGACTCGCAAGCAGATTCTTGTACCTACAAACAATCGTCACAACTTTCTGGAACAAATGGTACCGAGACTACTTCTCAACTATGCTGGTACGGCAAAAATGGCATCTGAAACAACGGAACTTCCAGATCGGCGATATCGTGTTATTACATGAAGACAAACCTCTCCGTGGATCTTGGAAAATGGCCGAAATCACCAGTATAGAACCAAGCAGCGATGGGTGTGTTCGAGACGTCACACTGCGATACAAACCATCAACCGAAGGAAAAGAATATAGCGGAAAGCCGTACATAAGCATCAAGAGATCCACTCATCGACTGGTTCTCATCATTGAGGCGAACGAACGCTCGCCATCATGAGGCCGGGGAGTGTATAGCGAATATTCGTACGACAGCTCGTCTTCGCTCCGTCACGAGACGTTGAGCCAAAAATTCAAATTCTCTTGCATCGTTTTCTTGATTTCATATTTGAATAGGATTTTGTTATATTCGGCACTGTAGTAAGTTATATCATTTTGTTGTTATATTTGATCATTTACATTTTTCTATATCCTTTCTTGATTAAAAGCGGTGTTGATTTCCTATCTTACTGACGGCTTGTTTGTTTCAGGATGAAACCTTTTACTTTGAAACTTTGAAACTTTTACAATACGAAACGAAGAAATATGAATGAATAAAGTTATACGTCTCAGTGCTATTATGATTTGTCTTTCCATTGGTGATTTTGCGAAACAGACAAAACACTCCCTACTGGGGCTAAAGTTAATAGCGTCGCTTTTTCGAAGTCGTCAGTTAATATGTCTCCGTTATGTCCCTCTAGCGGTGGAATAGTGTAGTCGCGTGTTCGTCCTGTCATTGTGCGTAGTGTCTGGTGGTACTTGTGTTGGTCGTGCTTAACCCTCGCCCGCACATGGGGGGGGGGGTGGTTGCCACCCCCCCAGGTAGTCTTTCTGCTCTGCACTCAACATTTTTAGAGCTAGAAGGCTGATTTTTCGTATAGCTGCTCCTCTATCCTTTCTTGATGTCCACTGAAAATTTCAAGTTTCTGTGATTTTTGGTTTCAGAGATATGACCTTGTTTTTCAGGTCATGTCATGACCCAAATGGCCAATTCTCAGCATCTTGCGTTTGCCATGGGCCTTATGAGCTTTTGACACCCTGATTTCGGCCTTTTTTGCCAGTCTTACCTCCTACCTATCATGGAACATGTTCTTTGACGATGTACAGGGGTCAAGGTCAGGGTCAAGGTCAACCTAGGTCACCTAAGATAATTGCGTTTTAGGCAAGCTGAATTTACTTTTTTTAAAGTTTTTTGACGGCATTTTTGGTAAAAGCTTCTCAGATCATGATTTCATGTAATATGGACCCAAAAACAATCGGTGCACACATCAGTACACACACAGACACACACAGACATACAAACACATATAATTGACCTTGACCTAACTTGACCTGAAATGACATCAGCAGCAAAATTCTGGTCGGGTAGTGTGACAAAGAGGTTCTAGCTGGCTTGGCACCAGAAAACAGCATCGTCATCGGTATTTGATAAGCAGCACACTTGATATCCAACGGTGACCCAAAACAGCAACATTTTTTAGTTTGACCTGACCTGGAAGGTCAATGACTGACCTGAGAAGGTAAAACTGGATATCATTGGATTTGTCTCTTCCCAAAGAATCTTTTTGGTCTTCACTGCTAAGCTCTATCTCCAACAGGAACGAAATGGCGCGGGGGGGTGGCAACCACCCCCCCCCCCATGTGCGTTCTAGGATGGGAAAATGGCATGTGCGGGCGAGGGTTAAGTGTCAAAAGGTGTTGGATGTGTTGTCGCTCTCGCTTCAGCCTTTTGTTCATCGATGTCACTTTGTCACATCGATGTCACTTTGAGGGAGGAGTGCTACCGGCGGATGATGCTCTGAACATCGGCGTCTCCGTGACGTGACTTTTCCACACCCTGCACAGCACCATCATGCACCCAGATCTGCTGCACTGCCTGACTGTGCTGGCGGTGGCCAGGCTTCTGACGCTCGCCGCGCTGCCTGCCCCGGTCCCAGCGCGACTGGTCCGTGCGCAGCGCGCGGACAGAGCGGCGGAGTTTGACCCACTGGTCGAGCGAGTGACCGACACGCGGCCGCCCCGACCTCGCCCTGTGACAGCGGCTCTCCCTGCTCCCCTGCGACCGGCGTTACCGCGCGGGACCGCCGCCGACCCTGACAGGCCGCCGGCCGCCGGCAGGGGCCCGTCCAGGCCTACCCGGCGAGGGGTGCGCAGCCGGCGGCGCGGCTCCAGGGGCGGGCGGATCTGGAGAGCTGGAGAGCGGCCAGATCAGCTGTACATCGCCCAGCTTAACGTGCAGTCGGTTAAACCAAAACTGCTCGAACTGCGAGACGACATCGCGCAGCAAAATTTTGACCTCATTGTATTATGTGAGACGTGGCTTAAGCCGGCCACACCCGATCGACTTTTACCGGTTCCCGGCTACCAGCTGCTGCGGAGAGACCGAGCTGACGGCAGGGGCTACGGCGGTGTCGCCGTTCTGGTGAGGGAGGGGATGGCGGCCACCGTGCTGGATGGACCTGACCGAGTCACAGCGGACTCCAGGCTAGAGTCGCTGTGGGTCCAGATCGGCACGGGCCCGCAGAAGGTGGTAATCTGCTCCCTCTACCGGCCGCCGGTGCAGACACAGGTCCGTGTCACCGCAGACCTCGACATACTGGAGCAGCAGCTGCAGCACCACATCACTCGCCACAGCGGACCGATCGTAATAGCCGGCGATATTAATATCAACACAGCGGACGGTGGCAGCGCTACGGCTACCAGACTCCGAGAGCTGTTTACCGCCTACGCAGTGCACCAGCATATCGACGGTGCTACGTTCCGGTCATCAGGCTCCACCATCGATGTGATCGCAACGAATCGTGGTGTTGAGCGGGCCGGGACGCTGCACTGTCACTACAGTCCTCACAACTGGTGCCGTGCAGTGGTGCCGACCCCGGGCCGCCGACCGGAGCGGTGCACTCTGACAGGACGGAGCTGGCGCAAACTGGACACCGCCGAGGCGAGCCGCCGCCTGTGGGCTGTGGACTGGAGCCCTGTGTACCGCAGTGCTGACCCGGGCGAGCAGTGGGACTATTTTATCGCGGTGACTATGCCCATTATTGACAGTCTGGCCCCGGCCAGACGGTTCCGAGTGCGTAACCCGACGGCGCCCCCAGTGACGGAAGCCACCAAGGACCTAATGGCCCGGCGGCGGGCGGCGCTACGTGCCTCAGATCGTGCCTTGTATAAGGAACTGAACCGGCAGGTTAGGTCGGCCGTCCGCCGTGACACGCGAGAGGAGATCGACCGGCGCGTGCGGGAGAGCGGGCCGAGCTCCTTGTGGCGCAGTGTCCGGCCGGTCATCGCGGGGAAGCGGACGACCAGACCTTCACCGGACGCAGACACGGACGCAGTGAACCAGTACTTCGCCAGTATTGGGACCGCCACGGCCCGACAGGTGGACTCCGCGGGGCCCGAGCTGGCGGTGCGGCTGCCGCGCGTTTCCACCGGCCGTTTCCAGGTGGCACCCGTTACACCGGAACAACTGTCGCGTGTCGTTGGTAGGATGGCCAGCAGTACATCGTGTGGCGCTGACGGACTATGTATACGTTTTATCAAACAGTGTTTTGGCTCCATCTATCCCGTCATCACCCACATCGTCAACTCCAGCATCACCAGTCACAGCGTCCCTAGCTCATGGAAATTAGCCTTGATCCATCCCATCCAGAAATCACCCAAATCCACAGACGTAACCAACTTCCGCCCCATATCAATCCTTCCCACCATCGCCAAAATCACTGAACGCGTCGTTTACGAGCAGCTTTTTACCTATTTCACCTGTCATCATTTATTCTCGTCTAGTCAGCACGGTTTTAGGACGAACCATTCTACCGACACCGCACTCTTAGATGTTACAGACCGAGTTTTTGAGGCTATGGACCGTAAGGAAATCACACTTTTGTGTCTTTTAGATCTGTCCAAATGCTTTGACGTCGTACCGCACGCCGGACTTTTACGTAAACTTGAACTGTACAATGTCGACACGCGCTGGTTTGAGAGTTATTTGGCCGACCACCAGCAGCAGGTGGTAGCTGAGAGCCACTCTGGCTCTCGAACTCTGTCGGCGGCGCTGCCGAACCCCATCGGCACCTATCAGGGGACATCGCTCGGACCGCTCTTGTACAGCATCTATGCTAATGATATGTCGCTATTCGTTGATGACGCGAGCATCGTGCAGTACGCGGACGACACTCAGGTTCTCGTGGGCGGGAGGCCCGGAGACATTGGCGCCCTGATCGGATCCATGGAACGAAATTTGTCACTGCTCTCGAACTGGTTTGGCAAAAATGGTATGAAAATCAACGCTCAGAAAACTCAGCTCATTGTTCTCGGCACTCGTCAAAATCTACAGCAGCTTCCAACAGTCAGCATCAACTTTATGGGCGCCACTGTCTCCGGCTCTCCCGCGGTGCGGAATCTGGGTGTCGTATTTGACCAATGTATGTCGTTTGCCGCCCATACCGATGATGTCGTCCGGCGCTGCACAGGTATTTTAATCGGATTGAGTCACTCTAGACATATTTTACCGCATTCGACGCTCACCACCCTAGTCCAAAGTCTAGTCATTTCGCTCATCCGCTATTGTATCAGTGTGTACGGCTCATGCAATACCACTCAGCTCGCACGTCTGCAAAAGCTGCTGAATTTCTCAGCCCGTGTGATATCGGGGCGTCGGAAGTTTGATCATGTTAGTGACGTCCTGCGTGACCTGGGATGGCTGTCCGCGCGTAACATGTACTTATACCATGTGCTGACCATATTGAAACGTATGCTGGTCACTGCGCAGCCCGAGTCAATCGCGAGTAGAATAGTGCATAGACGTGACGTACATCAGCGAGCCACAAGACAGATAGATATGCTACATGTGCCCAGAATCAAATCGGAGTCCGGGAGGAGACGATTCCTCTTTACCGCCGTGACAGCTTTTAATAGCCTACCACCGGCGATGTGTGACCTGAACCTGCGCGCGTTCAAGGCAGAGTTGCGCCGGCACTTGTTGCGACAACAGGCGGCCGACCGTTAGCAATACTTCATGACGACACGTTTGTGAGAGAGTGACTGCGAACGAATGTCTGTATGTGTGCGTGCGTGCGTATGTTTTTCCCACGACACCCATCATTTTATATTGCGACCCAGGTTCAGGAATAGCCATTTTTGTGGAATGAGCCTACGATGTCAAATAAATAAATAAATAAATAAATTGTTTCGTTGATATTTCCATTGGTCCCAGTCGTAGGCAGTCTGAGTTTGTTTGGCTCGTCTGAACAGTCTATCGCGTTTCCTTATTTGTGTTTTTAGGTCGTTTGTCGTCCATGGCTTTTGAAATTTATTGTCTCTAACTGTCTTTTTTTGGAATCGATGCGTCGGCAGCACTTAAAGGAAATAGTTCACTTTTTAACATGGGTTTTGAACTGGAATAGCAGTTCCGTAGCCTGGGCTGAGACGAGCATAAATCAGGAGCTTTTACAGCCCAACGATCACCCTAGGCAAAGATATTCTATTTCTCGTCCCGAAAAAGGTGTCTTGCGTTGAGGATGTGTGCCTTGCATATATTCGCATCCAGTATGAAAAGAGCATGGGTACCGAAAATTCTTCAAGAAACTAGAGAAATTATCTACGAGAACTCTAGAGAAATTCTCGTACTGATCAATAAGGA